AATGCAACCCGGAGGGGGTGTCATGCCGGTTTAACAGAAAAAGGAAGCATTACAAGCACTCAACGGCGTTCCCACAGCTGTTGGAGGGTTGGCCTCCTACGTGGCCACAGGAGAGCCCACATGTAGAAGCAGAGCACGGAAGGCAAAGAAAGAAATTTGTCCAAGGTCATCCAGAGGGTAACCAGATGAGCGCCCCCCTCTCCCACCGCCCAGGCGGGCAGGGGCTGAGCAGGTGGGAAATGGGCCAGGGAGGGGCGGGGCCACAGCTGGGAGGCCTGGCCGGCCCCATTCTCCGTGCTGGGCAGGGCGAGGAGGGAATGAGGGGGCCGGCAGGAGGGAGCCGGAAGGAGGAAGGAGCATGCAGGACAGGCAGAGTCCCAACTCCCAGCCCTGGCCCTCATTCAGGAAACCCCACCCCAGGACCGGACACCCTAGGTCAGTCACACTGAGCCACAGAGACCGGACATCTTGCCCCTCCCTGAGCACCTGCAGCTTAACAGGAAACAAAGGAATGACTCTCAGTGGCGAAATTCCAGCTAAGCTTGGAAGGAGCTGGAGGGGAGGGTGGGGGAGGCAGTGGGCGCCTCAAGGTCGTGGAATCCCGTCCCTCACTCATCTACCAGGCATTCACCTGTGCCCACCACGCCAGACCTCGGGGCGCCCCAACACACATCCTACCGGTCTCCTTGATAGGCGAGCGGCCCTGAGACAGCCTTTCCTTCCTTTCCAGCCATGAAGAGTGGGGCCGACTGGTGGGGTTTGTCGTCCCCCCTCCCCCCTCCCCCGGCCCCCCTCCGCTCATCACGTAGGGCGCCAAGACAGCCTGAGTATTTCCACAACAGATCGGGCGTCCCTGACAGCTGTCTCACTCGGAGCCAGCCGTACCCGCCCAATTCCAGATGTGGGGAGAACTGAGGCTGAGGGGGAAGGGTTGGGCCGGCATCAAGCCACCCAGGGGAGAGCTGGGAACTGCAATCATCAAGCCCCAAGTATTCGGATTTGGCAAGCGTGAGACCCCAGGCTCCAGCTGCCCTTGCAGAGTCCCCACTTTTACGCTCCCAGGCACAGCACGGTGGGCGTCACGGCTGCCTTTTGCAGAGGCAGAAGCTGAACCTCAGCGACCTTAACGTTGCTGAGGTCACCCAGCTGGGAAGAAAAAGAGGGGGCACTAGTACCCAGCCAGGTCCTGTGGCTCTGATGCAGTAGGCCACCCAACCTCTGAAAACTGCTTGCAGGGAAGGAGAGAAACAGGCTCCCAGCTGGGCTGGGGCCACTGGGTCCCCAGGCCTCCTCCTTGTAAGTCCTACCGGTCGTCTCCGTCTCCCCAAACTTGCGTGGATCCAGAGAGATGAGAATGAGCTCTTCGCCAGGACAGGGTATGAGGGGCTGGAAGCGGTGGCTTCCCTCAGCGGTGGGCGGAGCAGAGGGGAGCCAGCCCAGCCCTGTGGGCTTGCTCTGGCCAGGAGCCCTGGGCCTCCTCCGGAGCAAAGACTTCCTCTAGGCACAGCCCCTCCTGCCCTGAGGAGTACTAGCCCCCTGCCTACCAAGGTCCAAAGAGCAGCCCTCACTCTGTGACTTTGGGCAAGACGCCTCTCCTTTCTGGCCTTCACCTTTCCCATCTATAAAATGGGCTGACGAAGTCGTCACCAGAGGGCTACTGGAAGACCCTATTGCCACAGCGCAAGTGAGACCAGAGGTACAACAGACAAGGGTTAGCGGGTCGCTGTCAGCCCTGTCATTCATTCAGCAAATAACTGTAGGTTTTCCAGGGACAGTGCTCCGAACAAGAGCCCCCATCCTCCAAGCGTCCTCCTTCTGCTCTGGAGGCAGCCTACGCAGAGTCCCCTTTGCGGGCCACGGGAGGTCTGGTCGCCCCGGGTCCCTGAGCAGAGTGGCGCTCGGCTCCACGGCCGCTAGGTGGCGCGCTCGCTCGCTCGCTCTGTCGCCTCGCTTCCCAGAGGAGTCCGGGCGCGCACCAGGGTCTCCAGCGCGCTTCGGGCTCCAGGCAGGGCCGCCCAAGGAGCTGCACGTTCGCGTACCAGATGCGGATTGTCTGAGGGATCTTCTTCTCTTGGGGTGTTCTGGTCTCACAACACGACAGTAGAGGGGGAAAGGGGCGATCGGGGACCTTGCCAGGGTCTCCAAGCTCTGGGAGGAGCCTGCCCCGTGCTTTCCGGCCTGGGCGATGTCCGAGTGTCCGCTAGGCGCAGGGCCAGACCTCGGGCGTGCACGCCCCCACCCCTGGCTCCCGTGGGTCCTGTTCCTCAGCCCCAGCTCGGGTTCAGCGTAGACCCCTCCCCGCCCTCTGCCCGAGCGCCCAGCCCGGATCCGTTTCAGGACACTCGCGGCCGGGGCTAAAGATAGGAGGACACCTCACCATCGACTAAAAATACGACCCCTAGCCCGGGCGGGGACGCTGGGCGGCGGGAGGGCGCTCCCACGTCCCGAGTGTGAGACGGGGACGAGGGCTCAGGGTGAAGGGCGGGACCGCGAGTTCGGGATCTGGATGCGCGGCGCCTCGCAGGCGGAGAGGGCGCGGGCGTGGCCGCCTGGACCCAGGCGCGGGCGGGAAACACGGTGGAACCCGAGGTTCCCGGGAAAGGACCTGCGCGGAGGTGACACAGGGACCCGGGTGCGACCCAGGTCGGGGCGCCACGGGGGTGGTCCGCTGGGGGGCCCCCTGGGCGTCGCGGAAGGGCTGCAGAGTCCCGGCCGGAACTCACCTTAAGGAGCTCAGGCGGCGGACCCGCGGGCTGCGAAAGCTCTGGAGCTGGACCGCGAGGCTATGGGACGCGTTCCCGGCTGTGAACTCAGTGCGATCCGTGGCCCCTGAGGCCCCGCCCCTGGCCCGCGGAGCCAATGCTGGGGCCGCCCCAACCAGGCCCGCCCACAGCCCCGCCCCACTCCGAGCCCCGCCTGTGCTCCCCCTTTGGTGGCGCGGCGCCCGGGTCCAGCAGCCGCGCGGACGTGGGGTGCAGTGCAGGCTCGGACGGCTGCGGGCCAGGCGGTGTCGGGTGCCCGGGCTGGACTCCGTAGACTCTGGCTGTGCCTGTCGGAGCCAAACTCGGTGTTAGAAGGGCCGAGGGCGCGGCAGCCGGAAGGCCGAATTATAGTTCGTCAGAATTCACCGAGCGTCCTTGGACCCGTTCGCTCCCTGAAGGGCTGGGTCGGGGGAGGCGCCCGCGCAAGTGTATTCAGTGACCACTGAGGGAATGAATGAGGCCTTGGAGGCTCCCGAGTTAAAATACTACAAACTTGCGAGAGCTTTCAGGAGTTTACCTCTCCCTAGAAAAGAGGGCACTGAGGGTGTGTTGGCAGAGTGGCCTGGGTACGCCCGTTCGTCATCAGTCTAGGTGGCTTCTGGGTTAGCGGGTGGAATCCATACTTAGACTCGTTCCGTCTTCGTTTGTTTCATTCATTCACTCACTCATTCATTCATTCATTCATTCATTCATTCAGTACTAGAAGCATTTATTGAAGGGCAGGCCCTGCACAGGGCCCTGGAGATAGAGGCAGGAAACTGCCCTTGCTCCATTCAGTGATTCAACAGACACTTGAGCATCTAGCAGGGACCAGGTATGGCTTTTGTCGCTGGGGATGCAGCACCCCAGGAAAGACGGAAGACTGAAGTTCAGGGCCCTGATAGTGATCTGCTCCTCCAGAAAGCAGAAAGCGAAAGACTTTGGGCTTTAGGCCTTCCTCCTGCCTCAGGCTTCTCACCCGGCCATCGTCCCCACTGCCCTGCCCACCCCACACCCCCCCCCCAAACACAACCCTGGGAGAAGACACAGCACTGTGCCAAGCCTTAAGCACTACCCCTGGGCCTGCAAGAATGCGGCTGAGGCACAGCCCCCTACCCTCTGTCTGCTGAGAGTCCTCCTTTGGGGGAAGGAGATTGGGAAGGGTCGAGAACTCCATTCAGAGCGGGTGACAAAACAGAAAGTTGCAGGGATGGAAGTTTGGACAGGCAAAGACACTCACCCAAGACCACATGAAACTGGGAACCAGTTCCAAAACTCTTTGAAGAGTTGGTTTTTTTTTTTTTTTTTTTTTTTTGGAGGGGTTTATTGGGGAGCACTGGGGGATGGGTAGAGAGCAGCGGATTTGGCCCCTTCAGCCTGGCCCTAGCCCCTGCTCCCCTCCCTCAGCGACTAGTTAGTAATCTGTCCAGCATGGCTGCCAGCCCACGACTCCTAACCAGGGCCCTTAGCCATAGGAGCCACCATCTGTGTGCTGGGGACTGTTTTAAGTCCACCTGGATGTGACAAGTTCCCATGTACGTGCTTGCTCCCCATACTCCTGCCATCAGCCAGAGCTCGCTCAGGGCCCACACAAAGCCTACATTACATCCAAGGTGTGATTTGTGGCTGGTGGTGGGTTCTGTGCTCTGGAGGCACTTGAGTGAGCGGTTCGTGCTCTCCATTCACAGATGAAGTTATGTCACTTGCCTGGAGCTGACGGAATCCCTAAGGAGCCAGCTGATGGCGCCTCTCCTGGAGGTTTTGCTGAATAGACAGGATCTTTGCGTACACACCCAGCTGCTGTGGGAGCCCTGCAATTAATGCGCATTTATGAAACAGGATTTCGTTTGCTAAAATTGGCTATTTTACGCAACTTCTCAGGCTGTGTGTAAGGGCCTGAGTGTGGGCGGGGAGGCTGGGATCCTGGGCCAGGGGATGGCCAGGGTGTCCTGCATTTCTGACTCAACAGACATCCAGGCCAGTGCCCCGCCTCCTGTCCCGCCTGCACCCTATGTCCAGGGAATAAAGCCTCAGCCAAGGCCTGGACTGTTCTCATTGGAAGGGCTCCTCCTGGACACGCCGGTGGCTGAGGGGGCAGGAGCCTGAAGAACGTTTGGGAGGGGTTAGAGGCCTTCCTTAGATAGCTTTCCTTGGCTATGATGGAGCAGTGCCTAGAATGGGCTATTCAACTTCCTTCTCCTCCACTGGGAGCTCCCCCTGGCCCTGAGATGGGTCTAGTCCGTTTCTCCCACCCGGTGGCTGCTTCCCCCACTGGGGCCCTGTAATCACCACACAGTGACTGACTCAGCCCTTCCTTCCCCTCTCAGCCCCTTCTTCCTGGAAACCATCCACATCAGCCCCAGCCCCCGTGGGCCCAGAGGGAGAGAACTGGAAGCCGCCTTCTCCAAGGTTAGCTGGGGAGGATGGAGGGGCCGGTGGGGAAGGCCCCTCCCCCAAACCAGGCTGGAGCCAGCTCTCCAAGGCCCCACTTACCTGGAGAGCTAGGCCCTGGGAGGCAGGGGGAAAATGTGACCAGGAGTTTGGGGGCAGGTCTGGGGGCAGAGAGTCACAAGGAAAGGGCAGTGATAATCTGGGGGCGGGGGGAACCTGGGGGGGGGGCCAGTGAGAGGAGACAAAGTATCTGGAAGGGGCCTCAGCACCCCTACCCCCCCAGGACCACAGGGCAGCAGGGAGCTGAGCAGGAGCTCAGTCCACCCCTAGGAAGCCTCCCCCACTCCAGCCCAAGCTCAGCTTTGGCAGGGCCCCATGGCCTCAGCCAACCCCAGGCCTGGAATGGATTTTTCCTTATTTCCTTCCTCCCCTGGGCTCCTGCCAGCTCCAGCCCTGCCCTCCTCGCCCTTCATCCTCCTGTAGAGAACTCTGACCCACCAGAGGCTGGGATTCCAGATGAGAGTCCCCTCGGAACTGCCCCCAGCTTCTGTCTCTGTCTCGAACCCCTCCTGGGGAGTTGGGTGTCAGGGCATTGCGGGGGGACTTTCCTTTGGGTCTGGACTTTGGACCCATGCCCAGAGCCATGGGGGTTTCCAGAGTGGTGACAGCTCTGTCCTAGCAGGGACCAGCCCAGGCATTTCCCCCAGAGGCCTCTGGGAGCATCCAAGCCGCATGGCTGTCCTTTGGCCTGGGGAACATTGAGTCAGCCGGGGTCTTCTTCAACACTTCCCACCTCTCCAAGATATCTTGTCAGTGTTCATTTTGAAAACTCCTATTTGTATCTACCTCTTGCCTAGGGCTGTGCTGGACACAGAATGGCCAAGGCTGGTCCCCAGCCCTCAGGGAACAGATAACCCCAAATGAAAAAATAACCAATTCTAAAATGGCACATTCTGTGCCATAAAGGAGGGCCTTGAGGGTAGAGGCTGGCTCTGACTCACTTCTAACTGTCCCAGGCCAGCAGGGATGAGGCTCAGTCAGTGACTGCGGAGTGAAAGAAGAACTAATAAGAACAGGAGTGAGAAGGATTCGATACGCTAGAGGGGAGGAAGCAGAGGGGAGTGTTGCAAAAACTGCAAGGAGGAGGGGATAGTTGAGCAGGGTATTAATGGGTGAATAGGAGTTCACCAGGCAGAGAATAGGAGGGACGTTGCAGGTGGAGCCGGCAGAGACAAAGGCCAAGGCCAGGAGGACTACACGTAGACGCATGGTGTGATCAGGAAACAAGAGATACCCAGCAGACCATGGCATAGGAGAGGGGGACAGTCTTAAGAGGGTCGCGGGTGAGCACTGTTTTCCTTGCCCAGCACCCATCCCTCTTACACTGGTGACCACTGCTCCATTTTCCAGAGTCTCCAGTATGACTCAGGCCACTCCCAAGGCAAAAGTGCCCCTCTTACCCCTGTTCCTTAGGCACCCGTTCTCCCAGAAGACAACGAGCGTTATCAGCTTCTTGTGAACACTTCTAGAGATACGCTTTGCCCATGCAAGCAAAGCCCCTCCCATCTTTTTTACACAAATGGCAACATATAGACAAGTAGGGCCCCAACGTACTGCAGGGCCTGGTGGCGATGGGGGCGGGGGAGGGGGAGAGGACAGGCTCCACTGTCAATGGCAGTGGAGGTGACTCTGCAGGGCATGCGGGAAACCGCACCTGATGGAGCCTCTGCTACTCCCACTGTTCTGCGCCTGGCTTTTCTTTAGCAAACCTTCTATTTATGAGCGCACTCCATAGCAGGACACGGAAGGTGTCGTCACCTTCACACGTTTGCTGCCACACAGCGTGCCGGGGTGTCACAGTTTTCCTCCGCAGCTCTCAGCTGGAGCCCGCGTGGGGTGTTTCCAGCCCTTTCCCAGGACAGTCTGCGCTGCGGCGGATCACCTCGTGCAAAGGCCGAATCACGCAAGCGTGCGCACAAGCTGCGCAATCATTCCTACGCGCGTAGGGGTGAAAGGACGCGTGCAGGTGTCACCTGGTAAGCTCTGTCTGTTTGTCCTCCCAGGGCATGGGCCGGGTGCCAGGCCCCCTTCTCCTCAGCCTCACCAGCATCTGGTCCTCGACCTCTCTGATTTCTTGCAGCCTGAGAGGGAAAAATGAAACAAAGCCAAAGGAGCCTGGGTGTGGTTTTAGTTTGTGTCTCTTACGATAAGGGAGTTTGGCCGCCTGTTCGGAGGCTTTAGGGCCATTCCTCGTTCCTTTTCCTGTGGACTGGCTGCACGGTCTCGCTTAGGAGGGTCAATTTGGAGTGTGTGTGTGGGGGGGGGGGGGGTTCTGGAAGGGGGCCGGACCGGGGGGCAGGGGCGACTCTGCGGAGAGTCCGTTTGGGAAAAAGACAGAACTTGACTCTGAGCTGTGGCGTAAAAGCCAGAGTTGGAGATAATAAAGTAGAAAGATTGGAATTTGGTGACACACCGGCCACGGCGCCCATGGAGAGACAAGGGGGGGGGGGGTCGAGCCCAGTCCAGGGCGATGACTCAGAGTGGGGAGGGTGGGGCAGGGAAGGGAGGAAGGTGTGGCCACCGAGGAAGATGGAGGGTCCTGGGGGAGAAGATGATGTGCCACCTGCCCATTCTCCACCTGGCATCGTGATTGAGGTGCCACATGCCCCCGCTGACAGGCTTCCGGGTCCACAGTCCCTGGGCGGGGCCCCTACCACCCGCTCCCCGCCCCTTCGCCTCACCTGGCCCCTCGCAGGCCTGGGGGGCATCTCAGCTGGGGCATCTCTCCCTCAGGGAAGCCTTCCGAACCCCCGGTTGATGTCAAGTCCCCATGTGGCACCCTCGGAGAAACCCTGGGCCACTGTCGCGTCCGCACCACTGTTAACTGATTCACCCGCACCCCCCACTGGACAGTAGCCTCCAGCGTCTCCCCAGAGTGCCTGCAACATAGTAGGTACCTGAGGGAGGAACAGAGGAACGAATCTGCGGAAGAATGGCAGGGTGCTGGGGACAGCGAGAAGGGGCCGTATAGGAGACAGGGTTTGGGAAGCAAGGGCCTGGAGCCAAGAACCTCTCTGTGGCCCCTCCCCTCCCTGGCGCCCCTCTGCCCGGCCTGCTTTGCTTTCCTCCACAGCTTTCGCCTCCCCCTGTGCCTGGTGTTTGCTTGCTTGGGGTTTCTGCACCGGAGGGGAGCTCTGGGTGGGGCAGGCGCTGTCTGGGGTCCCCTCCGAGTCCCAACCCGATCCTGACACAGAGCAGCCAGCGTCTGCGAACAGGAGCAAGCGGGCGCACTGATGGGCTCGGGCTCCAGGTCTGCATGGCAGAGGCCGAGGCAGAGGCTTGCTTCTCTCCAGGCGCCCGTGTGGGAAAGGCTGGAGGGAGGATGTGTGGCGACAGAGCATTGCTTCCGCAGGCATCTCCGGCGGGCCTACCGCCCGAGAGGCGCTCCGCAGGGACCGGTCAGGTGCCCAGCCCTCGGGAAGCAGGCATCCTGACGGAGGCAGGGGGGGGGGGGCCCCCGGATTATCGACGGGGACGGGACACAGAGAACCGAGGAGCCGGAGGGACCAGATCATGCTGTGTATATTTTCTTTTCAAGGATTCCCCACACGCCGCACAGGATTTCCAACGGGAGAGGAGCGTGGACGGGACGATTGATTCTCCGAGCCCTCCTGCCCCTGACTCCTAGCCCTTCCATTCCCATCCGCAGAGGTAAACCACGGTTGCTAGATGTTCTTACTAGATGTTCGAAGGGGCAGAGCACTTGGCGGGGACGGAGTCCTCAAGGGGAATGTGGGCTTCGGGAAGGGCCTGCGGGAATCAGGAACGGCCGCGCCTTCCAGACCCTGGCCCCGTTCTCCTCCTGCTCCTGGAGCAGAGAAGCCGGGAGGGTGCTGCCGCCTGCTTCTTGGGATAGCGACTGCCCTGAGGGGCCGCCTCAGCCAGCCCGGCATCTCCCCTTTCCCACCCCTCCGGGGGGCGGCTGACTTGGCCCTAGAGGCCCCGGGTTCCTTCTGAGCAGATGCTTCAGAGTCTGGGAAGATCTGGGAGTGATGAAGCCGGCAGAGGAGGCCAGGCTCAGCTGGGCCCTCAGGGAGCAGTGTGCGGGGATGAGGGGTCAGCAGGGTCACGGGGCAGCAGCTGTCCCAGAGACCTCAGAGGGGCCCCTTGGCCCAGGCAGCTGCTGGCCTCTCAGCTGTCAGGCGGGCAGGGGCGGGGGCAGGGAGCCCGGGGCTTGAGGAGGAGGGTGGGTCTGGGTGGGGGAATCTGGAACTGGCCGTGGGCCCAGGTGGGTCGAAGGGCGGGCTGGCCCCTGGGGGCCTGGCATTTCTAGGGCAGACCCAGAGGGAGCAGATAGGCCTGGCTGCTCAAGGATAGAGAACCCAGGATGACAGAGGGGTCCAAATGTCCGACTGCAGCTGAGTCCCACCTCAGTGACAGCCACCTCAGTGACCCGCAGACTGGGAGGCCAGGAGTGTCAGCTACCTCCAGCTACCACCCCCCACCCCTCAGGCAGACCCCCAGTGCCTCCCAGTACTTCTCAGTTCAGCAGCTTTTCAGTGCAGTGAGCTTTATGTAGGCGACTCCCAGATCAACCTGTCCGGTCCCCACTCCTTACCAGAGTGCTACTCCTGTCACCGGACAGCCCAGCTCGGTAGCCATTTGGGTGCCCCCCTCAGTCCCAACCTGCCCCCGGTAGTCCCAGGCACGTCCCTAAGCACCTCTCCTCAACTCCTTCCTCGCATGCTCCCAGGTCCCTGGGCGGCTACCTGTGACTCCTTTTCAGTCTGTCCTTGTTGCGTGCCAGGTTGGTTAGCGCGGCAGGGTTGGAGAGACGAGGGGTTTGGAGTTGAAATCCCAGCTCCGTCACTTACTCAGGCTGGTGACCTCCAACCTCTTAGCACCTGCCAGCAGGGTTTGTTGGGAGTTCGACGCGATCTCCGTGTCAAAGTGCACACAGTACGTCCTCAGAAACGTTAACTCCCTTGTCTTCCTACCTGAGCTGTGTCTTCTCCGTCTGTGCCCTGGCAGTCATCCCGATCCTGCGGTCCTGGATCAGGCCTTCATTGTTTTGGTTGCAGATGACAGAAAATTCGATTCCAACTAGTTTAAGCAAAAAAAGAGGGGGGGTGGTTTTTGTGGCTTAGATTGGGGGGGGGGCGAGCCTCATCAGAGCTCAGACAACGTGGCCTGGCACTGACCTCTATCTCTTGGCTCTGTGTCCTCTGGTTTAGTCCATATTCACAATGGGTTTCCCTCATGGCGGCAAGATGGCTGCAGCAGCCCCACCCTTGCGGCTGCCTCTTTTCTACCCCTTCCACGGAAGTCCTGGGGAGTCATTGTGTTTGCCCTGTCTTAGGTCCTGCCCATCCCTGGCTGTTCACCGAGGCCAGGGAGATGCGATGTGCTGCTTGGCTTAGGCCAGGGAGGAGTGAGGAGGGGGGAGTGGTTCCCCACAGGGAAACTGGGGTACTGTTTCCATAGGAATCGAGAGTAGGTACTGGGAGGCTGTGTCTTCCGAGAGCTCTTAGGTGCCTCTGGCCTCCAGCCTCTCCCAGCTTCACTCTGCCCTTTGCGGCACTGCGAGGCCTAAGGCACAGGCTCCATACTGTCCATCTGCTCCACTCCGAAGCCTTTACCAGTTCCCTGGGGTGCACGGAGTCAAGTCCAAACTCCTCTGCGAGGCATTCCTGACTTCGCGGTCTGGCTCCAAAGCTCCATTCCAGGCCCACCACTTCTTTCTGTCCGTCTTTTCCTTCCTCCTTCCTCCTCGCTTTCCTCTTTGCTTGCATTCCTTCCGCCATAAACCCAAAGCCCCTTCTCCACCAATCCTAGGTTCACACAAACACGGGAGCATCATTCTTTTTTTTTTTTTTTTTTTAAGTTTATTTTGAGAGAGAAAGAGCATGCGCGGGGGAAGGGCAGAGAGAGAGGGAGAAGAGCGAATCTTAAGCAGGGTCTGCGCTGTCAGCGCAGAGCCCGACGCGGGGCTCGAACTGACAAACCGTGAGATACGACCTGAGCCCAAATCGGGTTGGATGCTTAGCCACCTAAGCCACCCAGGTGCTCCAGGGAGCGTCACTCCCAACAGCCCCAAAACTAGAAACGGCCCCAGGGTCCATCACCCCGTTGAGTGAAGGAAGAAGATGCCGTCTATCTGTACGATGGGAAATCACTCAAAAAAGGAAAAGAAATTAAGTACTGACACCTGCTACGGTATGGTGACCCCTGAAAACGGGACACTCAGCGAAGCCGGCCGCAGAGGACCACGTGTCGTATGATTCCATTTCTATGATGCGCCCAGAACAGACCAGGCTGTCGAGGCGGAAAGTAGAGTTGTGTTTTCTAGGGGATGGGGGCAGGGAGGGGGAGGGGTATGACTCCTAGTGGGGATGGGGTTTCTCTCAGAGGTGATGAGAATCCTCCGGAATCACGTAGTAATGATGTTCAAACAACATTGCGAGTGTACTAAAAAGCACAGCATGGTGCCCGTTAAAGTGGTAAAGGTGATGCTGCCAGATCTCAATAAATTTTAAAATGTTAACCCCCACCCTGCCCCGCCATCAGTCAAGGCCCTTCATGGTGAGTTCAAAGGCTCAAGTCCGGAGGAAGAGCCCCGTGTGGCCAACCAAGACTGGTTCTTGGGGTGGGGTGGGGGGCTCGGCCAGGAGCCTCAGGGTCAGGGGGAAGGAAATGTGTCCCAAACAGAAATGAAATATCAGCCCAAAAGGCTACTCCCAGCACCAGGGGAAGCTGCAAGACAGGCTGAGCCGGGCCGGGCGACCCTAGGTCAAGGGAAAGGAAACACCGGGCCCAAAGTAGCTGCAGAAAGGCAGGATACGGGCCCCAAGGAGCAGAGTCATGGCCCTGCTCCAGCCCCCCTCCGGGTGCCCCCACCACCCCAAGCCCCCAGTTTTGTTCTGGGGATCCACTTGGGTTCCCCTCAGCAGCTCACCCCTGACCTTCCTAGAGACAGAGCCCGGATTCTAAAAGGTGGCCATGCAGGGGTTAAGCGAGGGCAGCCTCAGGCTCTACCGGCACCAGAAGAGGTGGTTGGTAGCCCGGGGGGCCTTGAGGGGGCACAACAGCTGGGACATGGAGGTGTGGAACTGGGTAAGAGTACAGAGACTTTGTTTCCTCAGGACCATCTGCTCCACCCTAAGGCTTGTGTCCCGAGGACACGGGCACGCCCAGGACCAGAGGAGGTGCCATTGAGCAAAAGGGGGTTCTGAAGCAGGTGGATCCCTGGCGCTCTGGCCAGGCCGCGGCTCCTCGGCTTCCTCCACCCTCCCTCCTCACCGATGGCCCTCCCAGAGCCTCACTCCAGACCCAGAGCCTTACTCCAGAGGTCGCGTGCCCCAGCGCAGGCGGGAGCGAGAGGGAGGAAGATTCCAGAAATTAGCGACCCAGCTCAAAAGGGGCCTAGGAGCAGCCAGCTGGCTCAGCTGGGCACCGACTTCCTGACAAGAGCCAAAGGGACCGTCTGGTGGCAGAGAGGCACATGCCCGCCAGACCTGTCTGCAATCTGGGGTTCGCATCCTGCTTTCTGTTCGAGTTTTAGATGCCTGCCCTGGCCCTCCCCGATCACTTCCAATAGTCACACGACTCGTATCCAGGCAACGGACTCGCGCTCCCATTCATGCTGAGCGCCTGCTTTCTCACCCGGGAGGCTGCACCCCCTTGCCTCCGTCTGCCCTGCACCCGCCCCCCCCCGCCCCCCCCCCCCCCCCGCGGGTCTTTCTTCCCCCTCTGCCAACTGCCCCATCTCACAGGGCCTCTGGACTCAGATGGCTGAGTCTGTAATAAGGGGAGAAGGGGCTTTATACCTTGCCAAGTGAGGACAAAGACACTACAATTCCCCGCGAGGCTTCTTCAGCAGCAACACCAGGATACTTGCCAAGAGCCGTGGCTCCCTGAGAGCCACACATGGGTTCACGAGATAAGGGCTCAGAGGCTTGTTTATCATGGCCAAGGGCCTGGTGGTGAATCTTCCCAGGCAAGGGTTTTCCAAGGCGGGGAGGGGCAGGCTTTTAGCCGACCCTGGGATTGGTAGACGTACAAATGCTATTCCTGAACTGGGGTTCAAGGTTGTGGAAGAGGGGCCCGGGACTCCCCAAATGCCACATCCGGAGACAAAGACATGAGGTCCCCTACCCCGCAGCTGGGTGCTTCACGTGCAGGGGATCTTGAGGGAGAATCAGCTCCCCAAGCTGGGGCTTGTCCCTGGTTCTTGTCTTCAGACGAGGCGCCTATAAAGTGAATGAAGCAAAACCGCAGCTGCTTGTTTTCAAAGGGAGACCAGTTTCACCCAAGCCTGGTCAGACCTGCCGTTGATTCCACCTCACTGTCCCAGGTGGGAGGCAAAGGTTGGACACCGCTCAATCACCTATTTATCTCTGACTCAGGGCATAGGCACTGACACCCGCTGCTCCCTCTCGCACTTTCCCTCGGCCCAGGAGCTGGGGTTTCCGGTCTTGGCTTTGGCATATGAGGCAGGGCAGCCTGCCAGCTTTGGGCAGAAACCCACCCCGCATTTGACCAGTGACCGCCTTTCCCCAGATGCCAGGACACACGGGACGTCGGGGGACCCGGGAAGGCCCTGCTGTCCAAGCACTCGGGGTTATGGGCAAGCACCGGGCCACGCTGTGCGACTTGGCAGGGTCGGCACCAGGGAATCCAGCTTTGGCACGGCTCCGTGCGGCCGCCCCCTCCAGATGGAGAGGTCAGGCTGGGACCACGGCTTGCATGTGAGGGCTGCGCGGGGAGGGCCGGGCACGCAGCCAGCTGCTTGCTCTGTAGCCCGGGCCCAGGGCCCCAGCCCAGCACACCTCCTCAGCACAGAGGCCTCAGGGGCCTGGGGCGGGGGCGGGGGCGGGGATCAGGGTTGGGGTTGGACAGAAACCCAGTGTGACAGATGCTCTGCCTTCTCTGGGCACAGGTCAGGGAGGCAATGTTCTTCGTTCTACCGGGAAAAAGAGAGAGCGGAAGAAGATTTAAACTCAGAAGTTCTCCTCAGAATTTACTTTTACTTCTCCAAAAGTTGTTTCCGTGTCTGATATCAAGTAGAAAAATCAAAAAGCCTTCTTGCGTTTTCGGAGCACGCCGCGTCCACGGCCGGTTCTCTCTGGACTCTGCGTGTACTTGAAGAAACAGCAGCTTTCCTCCCAAGAAGTTCAACTCAGAGTCAGGGTCCAGCTGCACGAGGCCTTGCCCGCCAGGCCTGGACCCCGCAGCCTCTTCTCCAGCTCGCTGCCTGCTTCCTCTACCTTTCCACGCCTGGGCTCTTGTGGGACGGCCGCTCCTGGGCTCACGTGTCCGCGAGGCCGCATGACGGGGGATGACGGAGCACCGGGGCCTCAGATCCTGACCACCTGGGCGGCCGCACACGGACTCCGCCTCCCCTCCCCGTCCTCAGCCCGCTGCCTCCTGAGGAGGAGTCGGCCGAAGGTGCCCCCCACCTGCCCTTTGGTGAGGCGCCCGGGGTTCACACAGACACAGCCGAGGACGTCCTGGGGAAAGGAGAGGGGCCGACGTGAGAAAGTTGGAATCATCTAACCGTCAGACCCCAGCGAGGGGTTTATAAAATGGAAAGGCAGGCCGAACCCATCTCAAGTCTGGTCTGTTAACTTATTATTGGAAAACCCTGAATTCCTTAGGAGCTTCTGAAACAGAATGAAGGAGGTGAACCGGCAGGGTAACAATCGGCTCCCAGACCTGGGGACAAATGTCTACCTCCTGAGGACGAAATGGCTCTGGGTTGGCCAGAGGGGTACTGGTCGGGAGGATCCCCTGTGAGGGACCCACCCCGGAGCAGGGCGGGGGGGGGGTGGGGTGGGGGTGGGGAGAGGCCTCGGGTGGCATAGATGATAAAGAGCCAAAGGGCTGAAATCCCCCTGGAGGTCACATCCGCATTCAGGGGCGGGGGCAGGCAAGTGCAAGTGTGAAACCTCTCCAGGTCACCCTGACATGGCCCCAGCTGACAGCCACTGTTTGAGGGGCTTCCTGCCCGCCCCTGGGACTCCCAGGCTGGGCCGACGGAGCACCATGCTCTGGGGCGCAGGCGAGCAGGGGGATGCCTTTTTCCTTACACGTTTTACTAACAGATTAGTTTACCACCTCTCCCAAACAAACGAGGCCACCGTCCCCAGCACGAAGAGCGAGGACCAGTGGTCTAGAAGGGGAAGTCAAAGACCGGTTCTGGCATTTCTGGGAAGAAGCAGAGTCCAAACCCACCTTCACGAAGTATTTCAGCTCTGATGGGATAATGAAGACGTCTGGGGTGACAGGCAGCTGGGCGTAGGTGTAGAAATTCTCATAGTCAATGGCCATGTCTTCCTGGGGAGGGTAGAGCGGGTAGTAGCTACAGAGACGGAGAGAAACAGTCAGCAGTGGCTGGTCCGGGCCCCACCCTTCCCGCATGGCTTCCCTCTCTGCATCCATGCTTTCAGATTGTCCTTCCTGCTCCTCTGTGTTTGGGGGACAGAATGCGGGCTTGTCATGGCAGGGCAGAGTTCCCTGGGAGTGGCCCAAGGAAGGCGCTCCCAGTCAGATCCGTCACCGTCATTTGATTTGATCCCAATCAAATCCCGGACCCCGGAGCACACTCTTCACGGTCAGTTATTCCAGAGGGCCGGCTCACCTCCTCTGGGTCAGGATGTGCTTGAGGATTCGGCTGAGTCTGTCTGAAGTTCCGGAAGAACTGGGGAAGGAAGAGAAGCAAGAAACGGAATGCAGAGCCCTGTTTTTCAGCTTCTGTTTCTCTCTGGGGAGAGCTCGAGGCTTTCATAAACTAGGGGGAAGCTACGCGGCCCGTGTGCGGTGATGGGAGGGTACCTCTGGGGAAGTTCAAAGACCCACCCCCAAAGAGCTCGGTCTGTTCCCACCTGAGGAGGGGAGCCGGCCACCGGGCTGCGAAGGGAAAAGGCAGGCATCCCTGGTGACGAGACCATAGTGGGCCGTTGGCTAGAACTGCAGCGTGCAAGAATGGGCCAGGCGCCCACCAGTGGGTGGGGGCGTGCAGTCGGGGTGACCCTCAACCACAGCCAGCAAGCGCACACCCATCTCGCCCAACACGCCAACTGCTTCACACTCCTTCCAGTGACGGGGGAACTGAACTGCCGGACCTACGCTCAGCAGGTGTGGCGGGGTCTGATTCTGCAGAACGACACCTGCTCTGGTAAGGGAGGCTGCCCGTTCATTCTCCCGGAGCAGGGGCGCCCACTCCTGCCTAGGTCACGAAGGTGGGAGGGGAAGGAAAGTAGGTGAACTTCTAGGATTATAAAGGAAGCACAAAGACGTGGTTCTTCGGGGTCTCTGACACTGCAGACGAACGTAGCAGAAACAAACGTATCCAGTTGCTGTCTTGGGGACAGAGAAACTCTAATGGCCAAAGGGTGTGGCACAAAGTGCTGCTCTAGGGACTTCCCAGGCAAGGCTGCCAAGCAGCCCCTCGATTCTCTGGTCTAGAAAGCCAGTGCCCTGCCTGCTGGCCCAGAACTGCTTCTCACCTACTGATCTCCTCGGCTCCCATGTGGAACAGCAGATCCGTGGACGTCAGGCCGAAGACCACTCCGTTCACGGAGAGGCTGCAGGGCTCAGACACGAACTGCACTCGCTAGATTGAAGGGGCGAGACGAGCATTTGTACGCCAAAGCTAGAAACTTCTTCCCCATGAAAGTGGGGGCGTCTCCCAGGGCTGGGGAGACCACCGAAAGGGGGAGCAAACCAACAGAGAGTAAATCACATTCGCTTGTTAAAAAGAGAAGCCTAAGGGGCGCCTGGGTGGGTCCGTCGGTTAAGCGGCCGACTTCGGCTCAGGTCACCATCTCGCGGTCCGTGAGTTCAGGCCCCGTGTCGGGCTCTGTGCTGACCGCTCAGAGCCCGGAGCCTGTTTCCGATTCTGTGTCTCCCTCTCTCTGACCCTCCCCCGTTCATGCTCTGTCTCTGTCTCAAAAATAAATAAACGTTAAAAAAAAA